CTTTCCCTCGCTCCCTGCAGTTCAGGTATAAAGAAGCCTTCCTGAGGGATAAAGGCCAACAGGTTGGCTTCCGCAGCGTGAACGATGACCCCAAAATGAGACATGGCATCAGGGTGGGAAAGCTCCAGAGCGACACCCAGTACAGGAGGGAGTTTGCCCAAAACAGGGCACAGTTCAAGAGTCACATGAATCAGCCGGGCTTCCTCCACGCTAAGAAAAGTCAGCAGCTGGCCAGCAACATTAACTACAAGCAGCCTCTGCACCAATACACCTGTGATCCTGAGCAGCTGAATGTGAAGCATGCAAAACAGGCGCACAAACTCCAGAGCGATGTAAGTATATTTGATGTCCGGCCAAGACTACCGCATTGCTCCGGCAGTCGTGGCGGTCAGAGAAAGCATGAGATTGAAGAAATGTTGCAAACACTTCCAGTTCACTGGATTCTTTATTTCACATATGCTAAATAAATGCTTATGTGATGCTCACATGAGGCACCCTGCCTCTCTGTCAGAGCAGCAGGAGCACGGGATAATAGGAGATGTAGTCCAGCTAGAGAAGGTGTTGTTATACTAGATGAGTTAATGAAACCACATATGGCACAGGACTGAAACAGCCCCCCCAGGGCAGGTGGTCGGACTCGATGATCTAATAGGTCCCTTCCGACCCGAACATCTATGAAACGTCGATGAAACTATAAGAAAGAATGGGAGCATTAGCCCTTCAGAGCACCCCACAGGAGGGAAATACATTTGGTAAAGTTACTGTTTGATGGTTATGCATATTGGTGCACTGAAAAGTCTGTAAATTGGCAACTTTTCCATGGATGTTGCTTTCTTCTGCCTCTTCTATAAAATTCACTAGAGTGAATCATGCCAAAGTTGTAGTCTTAGCGGTGGCTACGCTTGGCAATTTGACTTGTAGACAAGACCCCTCCTGGATTACAATGAAAAGTCACTTTTTCAAGAAGTAGGATCTTTTTTTTTCTGAAACACCATATACTTTCATTTTGGTTTGGATCCCATAGTGCTTGATTCATATTGCGTCCAAAGACCGAGCGGTGTGACCTAACTAGAGCTAGACCAAATAACACTCAGTGGACTCTATATCTGATTTTTTTCCAGGTCAAATACAAGTCGGACCTGAAGTGGATCAAAGGCATTGGCTGGACACCCCCAGGCTCTTACAAGGTGGAAATGGCCAGAAGGGCCGCTGAACTGGCATACGCTCGGGGAGTTGAACCTCAGGGGGCTTCTGCTCGATATGAACTTGGAGCCGTAAGTGCCCTTCTCACCAAACCTCTGATACAGCACTGTCCCTGAGAAGGGAGCGGGCCGCTCCTTCTGCCTGGTACTGGTGAAAGCTGCCAGACTGAAGTCCTGGGGACTGCAAGGCTACCAAACTGAGCAATGGGGGCAGTTCATGCTTCCTCCAAGCAGCCTTAGGACTGTCTCAGCCCTGATCTAGAAGCAGCCCCATTAGGGAGGAAAGCAGCATTCACCCCACACAGTTCAACCTCCTGCAGGGTCCAAGAAGCACCACAGGGAAGGGTTTGATTCCTCTGTAGGATGCAGAGAGGGTTTTTCCCCCTCAATCTTTAGATGTCTTTAGCTTTAAAGGGATTTTGGGATCCCCACAGAGAGCAGAAGCACCTTCTGCACAGCTTCCCTGGTTGTCGTCTTCAGTATTAGCTTTTGGGAAATGTGGGCTAAATTCTTTTCCATGCACCAGCCATCAAATCTGTAACTGCTGGCACAGTCCTGCCTTAGATGGCCCGGAGTGGGGAGGCATTTTAGTTTGCTTTCTCTGTTAATGGGGAACTTGCGCATACCTCAAGCAACTTGGGGGTGGATTCGGCTTCGATCTGCAGAACCACACAACTCATCCCATTCATTTCCATGGGCAGACCCGTGATAACTCTGGAGATGGATCCTCAGTTGTTAGGGAGGCACATGACTCTACATCCAACTTGTGATAAGTCTCCTTTGCTTCTACTTCTCCTGATGGCATAGGGCGTAAAGCATATTCATTTTAGCAGCACTTCTGACCTCAGCAGAGGGTTATACGGGCATCAGGATAACATTCCTCCTTCTCCAACATGCCTGTGGTTTGAATATCTGTCCAGGACATGGAAAACCTTGGTTGTAGGCCCCTGCCCTGCTTCTTAAATAGCCCAGTGGTTATGGGTTCTTGCCCAGGACCTGCGAGACTTAAATTCTGTGCCCTCAAATAGTCAGGGGAGGTGAACTAAAATGTGGGTTTCTCAGGTATCTCCTGCCCCCACATAGGTGCCTTGGCCATGAGGCTGCTGAGCACAAGATAGGTGCTAATGTAATTTCAATTAAGTACCAATTCCTTCCTACTCATGGTTTTTGGCCAGCTACATTTTGGGGGGTTTATGCAGCATATCTGTATATTCATAGCGAAGCTGAATCCCAATGGGATGTAAGTGGAGTTAGATGCTTGTTCAACAGGGACACCTTAGTTGTGTAGGTGCAAAAGGCATTTAGCCACGTATGTAAAATTCAGGCTTACATGAGATGAAGCAGAAAATTGCCGGGTGACTTAGACACCTAAAAACTGTGTAGGAATCACAGTTAGTAACAGGGAAGGAAATTTGCTCCATACTACCATGGAAAGTCCTTTATCAGCTACATCAGAAGTCCCCAAGGAATAGACAGCAGTAGCATTATAATTGTTGGACTTGGGTGGGGACTGTTACACCCTTAGTCCAACCCCTTCTCCAGAGCTGCAAAGGTCTGATGCCGACAGCTGCAAGATGGAAAATCTCTCAAGTTTCCTATCCTGGCATATCCCACAGCACCACCTAGCCAGGGTGAATATGCTCTCGGCATGGCCCCCAGCCACTATTAAGCCCTACACTAAGCATCAACCAAATGGTCACGTTAAAAGAAACAAATATGCAAGTACAAATGCAAAGTTTCTCTTTGACAATAAGAAAAATACAGCCCAGCCCAAGACAAATATAATGCATCTCCAGCTACAAAGTTGATGAGAGAAAGGAATGATAACGGTATTTCACGCATGAAGCAGTGAGCATCGATTGTGCGCTATATGTTTTAAGTCGCCCACTCGGGAAGCCTTTGGCAACATCGTCGGTCTAGAATAAGCAGGTTGCTTGGCTGCTTGCTGCTTACAGAAGGGGCTGAGTTAGGAACGGGCCAGGTTAGCTGTTTGTACCTATTCAAGGGCAGTGGTTTGGCCCATGTGCCACAATAATGCATGTTTTGCTTATTTTGTGTCAGACACTTTTTTTTTAATTAATATTTTTCACAGAACAACCAAACAATGACAGTGACTTCCTTTTCACTGCCTCTTCCTCTTGCTTTGCTTTGGTTTTGCAGGATGAGGCAGAGACAGAAGGATCGCAGCAGCCTGGAGTCAACCCTGATGCTTCAGAGATTCTGCAATTCAAGCGGAGGAAAATGCAGCCAATGAAGAAGTAAAACCAAGGATTCAAATGGAAATGTTTTGATCTTTTAGTTTGCCCTGCAAATGCTCTTGCTTTCTTGAGGAGCACAATAGATGGCATCTAAGATCTGTTTTGTTGTTTTAAACCCCACCTGACCCTTACCAGTTAATATCGATCTTTATATTTTTGTGTGGATACTTTAAGAGATTTATAACTGAACATATTGTAGTCCAGTATTTATTGATGTTGTGAATGAAATCAGTACTAGATGACTGGCAGGCTCAGCTTTGTACTAAAGATGAATGAACCCTGATTTGTAGAATGTAACACATTTTTATTGAATAAATCAAACATCTGTTTCCATAAATGTTGCCTTTGGATATTTGGAGGGTAGTACTTGGTTCACTGCTACTCTTGATTTGAAAAGAGATACACAACAACAGGATTTAAATGCATTTGCAGAGGACAAAGCAGTGGCAGGACAGATGATAGCCCTCATCTACCTGCTTTACCTGGGGCACATTCAGGTGCATTCATGCACTTAGGCACTGGGCCTGGTGTAGGGTTGTTTGTGCAGTTTTAAGAATAAGTGAGACAAACATTTGATGGCTTAGTTCAGGATGGTCCTGCCTTGAACAGGGTTTGGACTTGATGACCTCCTGAAGTCCCTTCCATCCCTACTTTTCTATGATTCGATGAAGGCAAGGGCTGATGAAAGCTGAAGTTAGCATTGACTAATGGGGTTATACACTTTAATGGACTTCAGAGGAGTTCTGCCTGATTTAGAGAGATCACAGTCTTATATGCAAGTTATATTCTGTTGTAAATAACTGAAGAAGTTTGTTAGAAATTACTAGGAATAGCTATCGCTGCATTATGGGGCTGTTTGTGGCATGGGATGTAGAGCCATGAAAAACCTGATGAGGAATCCCAGACAAGAGTGATGTTGCTAAGCTGATCATATTCATGGTTCACATCAAACCTTAAGAGCACATACAGGAGCTTCAATTACCAGCTAAATATCCATGCTTTGCCACGGATCACCATCTTGGATATTTTTGCAAGATCATAAAGTCATTAATAAAGTTCTTCTCTAGCTAACAAAGAGCAGGAGGAAAAGGAGGAAATACGTTTTTTATTTCCTCAAGTTTACCATTAGCCTTCCAGAAGATCTCTCTCAATAGTGTGAACTGGACCTGGACCGAATTTTCGACTTAATCCAACTGAGAAATGTTGTCACTCGGGTATAAACTCCTGGTTTTTGTTTTAGCCCACACTGATCACCCCAGCTCACAATGCCATAGATATAGTAGGAACCATCTTGTACACATGTAAGAGGTCCGCCAGAATCTCCCTAATGAGGAAAAAAAATAAAAGACATTACTAGGTTGTCTAATATACAAGAAAATACTGACCAAAAGTAGAATTTCTCTCCAAAACAAAAGAAAACAGATGTCTTTGATGATATTAGTTCTTATGGATAGGCCAAGCACATATTGTTCAGATCCTTAGCAGGTTTATAATACCCTCTGGTTTCAGGTCAAATGACACTGAAATCTGTGTGTCCTGAGGAAGGGCACTCAGATAGAAATAAGGTGTCCAACAGCTCTCCCAACTATAAAGGTAGCCCAGTAAAAGAGATCACAGAAATCCTTCCCTCACCGAGATCTCACAAACTCTTTTCTTGCAAAATGTTGGCTCATGACAGCAGCAATTTCACACACATAAGATTTCTGCAAGCATAGCCAGCAGTTACCTGGCATCCTAGAATTGGTCGAGATGCAAAACCACTGGGGAGGTTTAGAGTCTGGAGTATGAACAAAAAACTAAACAGCTTATTGGTATTCCTTTTAGGCCCACGGTTAGTTTTGTTCCTTTTATTTTGAACACCACAGAGACACTGAGACATGCATGATGATATGTTGCAATATGGTATGTCTGGAGTTGTTTTAGATATTTTGCATGAATATTAGATCTCCAGGGGATTATCAAATTAGGAGTTGATGCTCACGGCAAAGAATCCAGTAGATTTGAGAAGAAGGGGGGAGGAAGGGCTGTGCATGACGAGTTAGGTACATTAAAGAAAGCTCTGGCCAAGCACCTGAACTCCTGAACTTTTGCAGCTGGACTTCTAAACTCTCCATAGGTTTCCTTGTTTCTGATAGTGACATTAGTTTTAGGGAATATGTCTCTCTAATCACACTGAAAAAAGAAGGCAGGTGTTGTAATGTGCTGATGGGAGAAGCAGATACATATGTAGTATCCTGCCAAAGCCATTACTTCGTGCAGCCTGACGATTTGCATGATTTAAAACAACAGAGAGAGAAATTAATGTTCAAATGCAAGCAAGGCACAGACCTGACAAGAATCGACTCCCGATCGTTCAAGGTTTCCTGCACAAAACATGCTTTCATCCAGCATGTTATTATGTGCACTCCGTGCGTTGCACCGCTTCTGAGAAATCAGCTTCACTCGGGCATCCAGAAGCTGATGAGATTCTTCACCTACAGGATGCGGAAAATGAAGATGGTCATCTTCCTCTCCACTCATTTCAATGTTATTTTTTTTTAAAACACGAGCCTGTTTGGGAACGAAGCCTGGAACAGTCTCAGAAAAAAGAACGATCGTCTGAACTCATAATTCAGTTCATGTCTGAGCCGGTAGCTTCAGCCACTGAAGTCAGTTAGAAAGTTTCCCGATTATGGGCAGAGCAAGATTTACAGGACCTTGGTTCCTAGCACATACCTATGTATTACTAATAGCATCCTCTGGCCCAGTTTTCAAGATACTGATCACCTCTAAGTCCCATTGACTTCAGTGTGACTTACAGGTACTCGGCACTTCTGAAAAATCAGGCTACTAGAGGCTTCAAGGAGGTTGAAAAGGGAATTAAAATCAGTTCACATTTAAAGGAGATGATTCACCACTAGGAATCTAAAGACATAACCTAGCATCGAAAGGTGGCAGCCACTATTTCAAAGCACTATGCCTGCAGATAATTAAAGGTACTTGAAGTGGTTTGTACGTTTGCGACTACACAAGTTACAGGAAGCGTTCCATTTCCTCACTGATTTCCCCAATGCTGATAATAACTACGCAGAGACAGAAGACATCCAGGTTTGAACATATATAGGACTATTGATTTATTTATTACATATAGCCCTCTCTTTCCCATTTTTTAGGAGCTCCTCGATATTTGGAGTCTTTTCTACAAATGCCTGTTAAGCTCTGCCGGCTAGTTCTGAAAACATGGATGCAGCTGCCTTGTGTTGATTTTAACGGGAATCACATCAGAAGGTCAAAATCGTCCTTATGAGTCATATCCGACTGTATCAACCAAAAAAAACACTGGGATTCTTAATATATCCTGACTGCCACATTTTCCTTCTGCAGCTTTCCAGTAGCAAGTCAATCGGAGAAAGTGAATTGTTCAGAATATTGCCATTATTTTTAAATTTTTTTAAGCATCGTTATTTCTCCCTGCAGGATTTATCATTTCCAAGAAAGAATTTGGGTAGAGCTAGTTGAACTGGAAAAGGCTTGGTGTGTCGTTTTAACAAAGTAACTAGAGATTCCAGATGCAGCCAGTCCAAAGCTTATCTGACTCATTAGGCTGGACTGGCCACATCTGGAATCTCTAGTTACTTCGTTAAAACGACACGCCAAGCCTTTTCCAATTCAAGTAGCTCTACCCAAATGCTTTCTTGGAAATGTTAAATCCTGCAGGAAATTTTGCAGTATTTCCTGGAAAGCTGCAGTATTTCCTGGTTGAGTCTAGAAATGCAGCAGCTACAGTACAGCCTCTCAAATGGTACCTTCTGCTTCTGTATCAGCACAAATCAAAAACATGGAGTGGGCAGGAGGCAAACAAGTTAAGAGAGATTTCTGGACTTGCTGTGAAAAGCTTGGGTCCTAGATAGAGGTTCAAGTTCTTTAAATAGAGGCTAAAGTCAATGGTTATTTTATCTAACCAGGTCAGCACATCCTTAGCTTTTAGTTCTGTTTGTTTGTACTAGGGTCTATACTCAGATCCAGGCAATTACCCAGCAACTCCGCTAATAAGAGTTATTGACACCAATACAACCGAGGTCAGCTAACTAGCAAATACCACTCACCAGCTTCAGTTTCTCCCCATCCTGAGATGTGGCATTCAGTCCCATCAGGAAACTGAGAATCTGGTAAACACACTGTTTTCACGTACTTTGTCTCCAGAGCACAATGGCCATCAAAGGGCTTCAATTTAAGCAGCGCTGTTTATAGGATAAAGCATGACTTTCCGTTAATTGTAATCCTCTTTCATCTTTGTCAGGCTACAGAGCATGGACATGAAGTGTGAAAATGCCTGAAAAGCACTATTTGTACCTGCTGATGGATTCTGCCCTGTTTTATAATGCGGCTGCTTCTTCATGTCTCATGTTTTAATGTTCCTGTGAACCCAGGAAGTCTATACCCAGTTATGAACTGATTTAAACTTCTGTATAAACCCTGTTCTCACCCTGGTGAAATCTGCTGACCTCCGTGGGAGGAAGATCAACTGATGAGTGAAGTGTAGCTATAAAATCCCTCCCCTTGATTTGAATGAGGGGAATAGGTCCTTTCTTGCTACACCCCCAGAAAAGTATTTGCTATGCAATCTGTAAAGCAGTAGGAATTTACCAATATCATTGATTGGGATGCCATCATCGTCTTTGTACAATGGATACCTAATTATCTTCTCCACGTTAAATTTTTGTTCATGGTATTCTCTTCTCTTAAGGTCTTGCTTCCCAAGGAACACTTGCAGGTTTTCTTCTTTTATTCTATGAAGAAAGTTCAGCAGATCACATACAGAAATAGTCTATGCGTGGCCCACGGCTGGAGCACAAGCAGTCGAGCTGCTATGCTAGTCATGCACAACAGAATGGCATTTGGTAATTTAGTAGGACTCCAAGATTTCTTGCACCCAGCAGGCATGAACTTGCAAGGAAAATAAATCTAATACACATTATTGAAAGCTAACTGCTATTTAGACAACCTAACGAGTTCGTCTACGGCTCTAAAGTCCCTCTTGCTCGTGCCATGCATCACTCTGGATTCTTTGGCATTTTCTTGGCTCTTCTGAAATCCCTTTCTTTCAGACGCAACAAAACCTTTGCAGTCTCCCTTTAGCAGCCGTTGAAAATTGACGGAGAAAGACACTCTTATTAAGTTATTGTATTAAGGTTCTTATTAAGTTACTTATTAAGGTTCAAGTCAATTCTAGTGCTTGATACAGACAAACACCTCCAAAAATGAACTACTTTCTGCAAGCCGACTGCATGTGGGAAGAAGAAGGTGAGAACTGTACAGTTAACACCTTGCTTCAAGAGCTCTCAGTACATCCTTAGAGCGTCTCCTTAACCTCTTGCACTTAGCTGGTCTCTAGCATCTGGTTTTAATAAAAATCTCCACTTGGCTGTGCGGAAAAGAAGGACAAAGCATGCAGAATCAGAATCCTCCTAAATTTAATCCAATTTTAGAAGAATTTTAACTCATGCATCGGATCCAGATATGGAATTTACCAATGTAGAAACATATACTGTTTTCCCCCCCTCTCTCTCCTTCACGTACAGTCCCGTCTAGAAGGTGCTGAATACATGGTATAGCCTTCGTTACACTTAGCCTGTGTTTGATCAGGAGGTGAAATCAAATCATGTTTGAATATATGCAACAAAGGTGTCAAAGGCAACCAGATTTCTTTTAAGGAGTTGTGAGAGCCAAGGTATACTAGGAGGGAAGCAGACAAAATGATTTCACAGGTGACTTTACCTAAATTTTCTATTATCTTATGAAGATGCCTGTACCCCTTCATTTTGCATTCTCTGAAAACCCTCATAATAAACCCTGAAGAAATTGTTAGATATTATGGGCCAGATCTTCAGCTGAGGCAAAAATCATGTCTCTCCACTGAAGTTAGTGCTGTTTACACCAAGTGAGGAGCTGGCTCAATATTTCTATAATGCTACCAGTGCTGTTCAGGAAACAGAATTTCTCTCTTGCAGGAAATGCAAATCTTTTGACATCTATTTGCATTTCAGAAATGGGATTAAAAACTGAACCAACCAGCATGTTCAAAGCATGGAAAGTATCCCATGAAAAATATCCCACTGGAAATGTGAAAATGATGGATTTTTAACATTGTCAACTGAAATCAAATCCCACTCACTTTAGTAGACTATATTCTGTTGTGTACAACACGGACCTTTTCCGTCTAAAAAGCCCCAAGCTGCTGGAAATTGGGGTGCATATCATGAGTAACAAAATATGGTAATGTTCTGCATTGTAAGACCCTGGGGGGCTGGCGGGGGGGGAGAAGGGGATGAGTGGCCCACAAGGAGCTGTGCAAAGAGCACATCAGGCTCCCTAGAGGCTGGTACTCAGTCACTCAGATCTTTTTTCCTTCGTTCTGCCATTCAAAAACAAGATGTATATCATATTCCAGGGTGTGTTGTATGTGAGCAAATATGGTATCTTGGCCAAAACACCTGGACTGTCACGAATCACTGTTCTTTGATTTTTTCAAATCTATTCCCAGCTACTTAACTGGGCCTGGGATAGGCACTTACTGAACACAGTGTCCTGCTGTGAGGACCCAGCATGGCTCAATGAGAACTCCTCCACAGAAGTGTCCCTTAGGCTCAAAGGCGCTCAATGAATACTTCCTCTGTAGAGATGCCATCCAGGGATGTTTGCCAGGAGTAGACTTGGTCCCGCCATAGATCCTCTTGAACGATCTCACAGTCCCTGGCTGTCCACATGTTTTAGGTGGCTCAGTAGGGTTGACTGTTGTCGTTGGATCCTCTTCTGCAGCACAGGGGGGAGATAGGTGATGCATGGTCTATATTAGTTATCACAGGAAGGGATATGATGCTGGGTTTTGAACATCTGGCACAGTTGCTGGACTGGGAATGGAAATGGGGGATGTGCCAGTGCAAAATGGTTCCATTGAGCTGCCAATAACCCATCGTTCCAGGTTAGACAAGGCTGCCATCTTTTGCCCTGGGCAGTAAGCATCTCAGATACAGTTCATTTGGCTGCCTTCTTTGCGCAAGATGCAGGCAAGGCACTATATCAGTCATAGGTTCTTGGGCAGACCTTATAAAAGGGGTGTTTAAAAATATCTTGTTAGTGGCACTACAGTTTTCTGGCTTGCCTCCTAGAAGCAAGTGACTGGCAGACTGGCAGGAGTCAGGGCAGCAAGCAGGCTAAATTTCCCTGTGCTGGCCCTGGCCTAACTGTGCTAACAAATGACCCCAGTTGCCTGCATGGAGAGGCTCCTGAGACCAACCCAGACCTCTGCCTTCCACCGGCCGGCTGCAGGGTCATGGCCCGCATCCCAGCTACAGTTGCCAGCTCCACGCACCCATACCTAGTGACTCCAGTCTGGATCCCTGCATGACCTCCCCTAGCTTCTGGTTATAATCAGGATGACCATGTATGTGCAGGTCCCTTATAGACCTTGGCCTCCTGACCTGCCTGCTCCTGATCTCCTGACTCTGGCTGGGACCCTTGCTTCCTGCCCTTGTCTGTCCCTGATTCCCTGAGCTGTGACTCTCTGGGATCAAGCCCCTACTGCCCATGTCCCAGTCACACCCTTGATACACTTCATAGTACTACCTAGTAGTCTGGACTAGGTGCACATATAGTGACATTCTTTGCTCTACCTGTTTCTGAGCAGGGTGAAATGTCACAGAAATCCCACTTCACTTTGTTCCCGGAGTGGACAAAGCACCAGGGTTTTTCATCACCATCTGGATTCCTGAAGGGAACAGTTTCCAACATCCTCTAATCAGAGTTGGGAAGTCTTCAAGAGGTTGGTCTAATAGTTGAAAACTAAAGGGTGCACAACAGCATGGCTAAAAAGACTAACTAAAGGTTTAAGGTTCCAGAAACGTTACTTCATTTTTAACAAGCAACAACCTTGGGCAGATTGAATAAAGTGTCTTCCTGACGCCTTTCCAGCCCTTGGGGATGACCATTGACCGGTTTTGTACTCCTGCTAGTCCAAGATGACCTATTAGAGGGATGTCTACACAATGGTCATAGCAGAGGCAGGTAGCAGAGAGTAGGTTTATATCGCCTGGGAATTTCCTTCCCCCCCGCCCCAAATCACTTGAGCGGCTTTCTTTGGCATGACTTCTTTACATTAATTGAGAGAGACCTCTGTGTACATAGCAGTAGATTAGGAGATTACCTGCAGAAATTATGGTCACCAATGCCATAATTGTCAGCATTCTCCATAAATGCAATGAACCTATCACCCAAGAGAAGGTGAGAAGTCCAATGAAGACACGTCTTCCCATTTATCAGCTGATTAACTCTCCCTCTGTATTGGTAGCCGTCCTGCTGATAACAATCATCTGGTCCTATGGAAAGAGGATGCTGATATGAAGCAGTCTGGAAGTAAGGGCAGAAAGCTAATGAAGGAGTGAAACTGGCCATGCTGAGTGCTCATTAAAAAGACTGGCTGTGCAGGGTTGGCCTGAGGTTTATACAGACCTCTACTGTGTGCACAGTAAGAGATTGCATTTTCCACCTTCCCTTCCCTTACAAGTGTGAGCCCATGCACTCCCACTCACTCACTTTCTTCTACATGTGGGAGATTGCTGAAGCAATGTTTAGATAGCATCAGCCTAGGGAACCCTTTGGAAGGACCACCCAACATAGGCGACTGGTGCCTCCTGAGTCTGGGAAGGCACCAGATTGCTGATCGGAGGGGTGGGGGTCCTCCAGTGACCGATTGCCAACTGGGGGAGGGTCTGACGGTGGGGGGGGCGGGGCTTGAAACTGGAAGTGCACTTCTGCCGGTACTTCTAGTTTTGTGGCTGGTGCTTCCAGGGGGTGCACGGCCGATCTCAGGGGGTGCACGTGTACTTGCATGCACCCCCTATGCTTCGCCAATGCCACCCAACCTCAGGGAGGATCCTTTGTGACTGCATACACCAGCTTCTTACACTGAAACCCACCCTGAGCATATGAGTACTCCAGCTACATACTTGGGCCCCTGTGTAGGAACTGGTTAGGGGATCTCTTGTAGGACTGGGCGTTGGTTTGGAAAGCTATAGGTGGAGAATCACCCTTCCCCTGGAAGGAGGGAGAGCCAAGTTCTTACATACCTATTTCACAGAATCTCCCTCTGAAGGGCTTGACACACTGGCAAGTAGATTTTGATCTTAACCTGTGCCGTACACAGGTGCCTCCATTTTGACATGGGTTTGGGGTGCATTGTAATGATGCTATAAATGTTTCAAAACACAAAAAAACCCACTGTTATTCTGCTAGGAGTTGGCCAACTGTACGAATGTTTGAAGGTTTTGAACATGGCCCATCATCATTTTTGCAAGCAGGGATAGCATATCAGACCCATCAGACCCTTAGACACAGAAGGAAGAACCTCTAGACCTTGACCTAGGCTGGGAGTGGTAGGAGACTCCTCCTTGTACACATACTTCCCAAGGGATCCGCTGGCTTCCAGTCGGACACTGGGTGGAGATGGAGAGGCCACCTGTCAGGGCTGAGCATGTAGTGTAGTCCCCAGGCCCAGCTATGGCTCATGCAAATGAAGAGAAACTTTTCTCACCTCTGCGGCAGTTGGGTGCCTTGTAGGGATGGATACAACTGCACCGAAAATAAGGTGGAGTTAGTGTGACAAGGCAGTCTCCTCTGTGACAGCTGTGTTGTTGGCACGTGTTCAGCACTGTGGTGGTCAAATAAGACAGAAACTTGTGTTAATCTTCAGACATGCATGTGTGTGTGTGTGTGTCACACAGGAGCTGAGTCCTATGGATGTCACAGAGAGACAAGCTTCCCATGGACTTTCTAATGCCACTTTTGGCTATGGTGATGGAAGAACCCAAACAGAAATGTTAACCTTTAACCTCTCCACTGGAGAGTTTCACAAACATGGGATTCCTTCAGGAATTTGTCCACACTCTTCCACAAAAGATCACACTTTGGCATGTACCTCAACATGCACACACACAAAAAAATGGAAGAGATACCACCACTTACTTGATTCCCAATGGGATGATTTGGAGAATCCACCTACGTACAACATGCTAATGAAGTTTGGGACATTGTGCTCTCTGTGTGCTTATCCACTTAAGGTGGTCTGCACTGTTTTCTTGCTAAGGAGACAAAAAACCAGCACCTCCATATCTAAGCTGGGCAAGCCAGCTTGCTGACAGCTGAGTAGGACTGTGCGGGCAACACAACAGAAACACTAAGAAAAGTGGTCACGACACACACTCTACTTAGAACAAATGTGTTTGCAAGGAGAGAACTGAAAATCCCCCAAAAGGAGGAGAACAGAAGGGAAGGATATCAGAGCAAGGGCCAGGGGGGCTCAGGGGAATAAAGGCACCATAATTCTGTCCAGAGGGAGGAATTTGTTGGGTGTAGGACCAGCCAAAGTTAAAAGGAGTTGGTTTCAGGAGACAGAGAGTCCATAATTCAGCAGAGACAATCCTAGAGAACTTCAACCATCTTCCCAACAAAACCTCAACTGTGATGGGGAAGGAAGCAGAGAATGGTGTTTTTACCTGGTCTACATAGAGAATAGCTATGGCAAAAACCTCCAGGAAGCTTAAGTGTTTCATGCTATGGCTATCGCATATGTTCACAGAAGCAAAGAGTAACCCCGCAATGCCTATAGGGTTGGAGCTCGGGGAAAGGAGATACCCCTGCTTCTGGGATGTTGCAGGGCGGTCCAAACTAGATGGATTGTGAGGTCCCTCAAGGGGGAACAGGCAGATAATCCTGAGCCAGGAAGTTTGCCAGCAGTGTCCAGGAAAAGGCAGGGCTGAATCTTGCTCAGGCCAAAGAAGTTTAAAGTGTACAAGTCCGGTTTGTGGGGAGGCAAAAGCAAAGAGAAGATCTAGAAGGAGTTCAACATGCACACCCATCATCTGTGTTCAGATGAACACACAAAGGTAGAGGAAGTACATGGCTAGAGACTCAGAGCACCTCCATAGGGCTGACCTTGCTAACGGGTACCTGTTGTGCACACCTCAATTGTTTTCTTTCCTGGAGGCCTTGCTCTAAAGGACTACACATGGGATTGGACTGTAAAGTTGAAGGCCAGCGTATGTGGCTGTACTGGAATACCCTACCCTGGACGGCAGTAAGCAACACGTTGTGTGAAGCACCATGCACATTTACAGTGCTATATACAGAACAGCAATAACACTGGGAAAAAAGCACTTACCTGAATTACATGTAGTCCCGGTATATGGCTTGGGGCAGGTGCATGTGAAGTTATCTCTGTGCCTTTCACACACCCCATTATTTTTGCAAGGGTTGGATGAGCAGGGATCTACTGGGGCAAAGACAGAGGCTGTTTCTTTACAACTTCTCCATCCCCTTAATAGTTACATGCTCTTATATTGAGTTCTCCCAAGGGTTGTAGCTCAACATTGCCTTATCCTACTCGTGTATTTAGATGACAGCTTCTGGACCATGTTTTCCTGACATGCTAGCTCGGGTCAATTTTCCCCCAGAATATGACCCTGCTCTGCACTGGAGAGGTGGCCCCTTCCAGGGTCATCCTCTTAGCACAGCAATGTACCTAACAGTGCCAGGCTCAGCTCTCCAGTGCTTGTGCAACCTACAGGGGAGTGTGTCACACATCTCCCCTTGTCCCCATGCATAAAGACAGGAGTTGTTACAGCCCCCCGCATCCCAAGGCCTTGCTTCTTCAGATCCAGCCACCCCAGTGCTGCTTGTTTTTAGCCCAGACATATGCTGTTTTTCCCCCTGGTGTGTTGGTTCCAACTTGCTTGGGCAATATTGCCATGCTAATCAATGAGGAAGCAGTGGGAAGATTGCCTGGCTAAGGGCTACCAGGTCAGATGTTTTGGCAACAGAGATGGCCAAGAAATGGGCCCAGAGATCAAGGACTCTACTGAAGCAGGGAGGTGTTTGGATTTGGGGTTTTGCCCCACTTCTTCCAGGAGCAACCTAGCAGTTAGTCTCCTGCAGAGCTTGGCTAGTCTTAACACTCATCATCAGTTCCACCATGGCAGTAGCTCCTAGAAATCCCCACCAGGATTGGGACCCTGCATCAACCTGTTCTTCCCTAAATTGCAAGGTATAAAAGGTGAGATGCAGGTATGTGCCAGGCCTGCATGCAGCGTGCCAGGAAGCCAAGGAGCAAAGGAGGCGAGAAGTTACCTTTCTGTCCCTGATCCTAGGGAGAGCTGGGGACTGTTTAGGCCCTGGGTCTAGCCCAGAGTTGTGGCCTTGGCCTCAGTGCTTCCCTAAACTACATCTGATGGTTATCAGTCCTAAGGAGCCATCAGCCAGCAAGGGGTCACTTTTGGATGGGGTGCTCAAGCTATGCCCTTCTCTGCCACAGGCAACCTAGGCAAGGCACAAAGCAGGCAAAACCAGTGCACATCACCCAAATTCCCTATATACCAGGGGAACCCCCTACAGCCTCATTCAACCTTTTGTGTGACCAGTGATGCCCAAGATCTGATCCATGGTATTTTCCTGCTGTTGAGCTGAGTATCTGTTCAATCTTTGGGTTCCACGCATCGATGCAGAACGTGCATGGCACAAAAGCAGCTAGTGCATCTTACAGCACGTAGAGAAAAAATATGGCACAAAAGCAGCTAGTGCATCTTACAGCATATAGAGAAAAAATCCCCCTGTGTTTTTTTGTAGCAGCCATCAGAAATGTTCTGCAGAATTGGAATCTATTCTGCGAAACCCAGAGAGCAAACACAGGCTCCTTCCACAAGAAATACAATGGTGAGAACATTGCAGGCCATCTCTCCTAGCTAATCGGGATAGGACGCTGGCAGGTATAGCAAGGTGGGGAACAAGAGGAGGAAGATCTTCACGTTTGCAGTGAAGCTGTCACACTGGGGTTTTAATCCCTTTCCCCCAAAACAGTTATCAGTTGGGTGGTCCCAGCCCACCTTCATACCGGGGTGGGTAAAGTAGTTGTAGACCCAGTCAGCACTCCAGTGCGGGAGGAGGGTGCGGATGCTGTCTTGTATCTCGCTAAACTCATCATAGTATTCGTAGTTATCGGTATAGATATCGGTTGTGTCTGGAGAGGGGAGAGAACCGAAAGGGCATTAAAGCTGGTATTGTTTAAAAAAAAAAAAATCCATTCCTCAGAGCTGGCACTTTTCTGCATATGGAGGTGTCACAGACACGGATCCTACAGCCCTCTGCTTTACAAGTACACATGGCAGCTCTTCCTTGCTAACTCTGTAAGGGCTACAACCATCAGTGAGCAAGTCTGGGTCTCTCAAGACAGGGAGCAGACAGACATTCCCAGCCCCATCCGTTGCAGCATTTTGGCAATGTCTCTTCTGCTGCTGGACTGGAGAGGGCTGGAGGGAATCAGGATCATCCAGCATCGGTCAGTCCTGCGGGTTTCCTGACCTGCTAGAACTGGAAACCACCTCAGATCATTGCCGGCGTGTGATATTTAGCATCAGTCCACATCACAAAATCACCAAACGTTTGGCACTTACTTACAGGCTCCCTTTTCTCGGCTCCATTAAAGCAGGGACTGTCTCTTACTATGAGAGTAAAAATCTCAGATAACACAGCCTCGATCTCTGTTTAAACACTAGTGGCAATCAAAATGATGTTATTCCAAGCTGATATGGTAGTGAGAAAGAAGGGGCTGCTTCTTGAGGGAACAATGGGTGCAAATCTAAGACTCTCCTTGCTTCACTATTATCATCTCTGTTGCATGTAATTTTTAGAAATCCCATAAACAGGAGTCCATTGTGCTGGGGTACTATACAAACATGCAAAAAAAAATAAATTCAGCCCTTGACTTAAAGAGTTTTCCAGGCTTTGATCTCAGCAGTGAGTTTCCAGCATGAGAATGAACATTATGCTGTTGCTAGTAGCCATGGTCTACAGGTAACTGTCTTGAGAGCAGTCACACCGTGATGGGGCCAAGGATTTGACCAGCATCAGCATCCCTAGCACTGATTTATTTGGGCAGCCTGTACTCTCTGGCAGGTGTCACTCCAGCCAGTGAAAGACACTGAGATGGGTTTCAAAGAGAAGTTATGGTAATGAGCAGAGCTAAAATGCATATAGAGAAGAGTTACAAAGCTTTCCCCTAGGGCTGGGCCAATGGCCTTACAGATAATGCTCTGCCTTGAACTGATTATCGACAGCATTATCTTAGTTTTCTCTCCTCATTCATTCACTTGTAGCCTTTATCTTTATTCCTTCTTTGCTGCTGGGAAAAAAAAAAAGAAGAAAAACCCTCCACTCTTGTACAATGGATGTTTTATAGTTCATATTAAAATAGAACCATCTCTTTTCCCTTCTTTTTTCCTATGCGCCAATCCCAGTTTCTCGCCAAAAAAAAAAAAGTTTCACCTCATTTATTGTTATGTCAAGACAAGACTTCTTTTTCTGGCTCATTATTTCCCGGAGCAGAGTCTCACAATATGAAAGTACTGACAGAGCGTGTGCCGGGCTGAGGATCTCGCTGGAAGATAAGGCCATTGTCTTCAGCGCACTAATAAAGTTGAACACGATCAAGTTGCAAAGGGAAAACAAAACGAACGCTTGCCTGGGGCTCAGCCTGCGCACTGACATTGTGCATGAGGAAAACTTTGGCTGGAGGCAGATTCTCCCCCACCCCTTTATTAAGTGCCTTTCTGCGGCATGGGGGCCTCTGTTCCTGAGCACCTCCCGACGACTGCTCTGAGGACTGGCATGGCCAGGGTCTACCGCGTGCTTTGTTGGAAGGGTGCATTTACAGAAAGCCTGTGAAAGGTTAATCAAGTGATTAGCAGAGGGTTGCGGGAGGTTACAAACATGCACAGCACCGGAGAGGCCTTGCAAGCATCCTGTAGACTTGTGGACCTAGTAACAATAACTAGGCTGAAAGAGGTCAAGTGCTTCAACATCAACAACGGCATTTTTTTAAAACGTGCTTGTAAAAGATGACATCATCAACTAATTTATTTCTGTATAAATATTAACAAATGATTTTTTATTAACGCAGCCATGAATCACTCAGGGGGCCTACAGGTGTGTTCATTCACTTCCTAATGACAGTGTGTCGGAGCAGACTCAATTCATCGTCAGCTCTGTCTTCTAATGGGAACGCTCCAACGTTGCCTTGCCGTCACCTGTATTAAGCCTCTGAGAATTTGAAAATGGCTTCAGGAACACTTCACCTAAAGCTTGTCCAATGAGGTTTAGCTAAAGCATCCCGCGGGCATTTTCAAAAGCACGGAGACGTAATACACATGACGGGGAGCTGTTTTAATTAGAGCAGCTATCCAGGAAACACTCCAATTGAAAGCTCCTCCCCCCACCCTATGACTGCCCACATGGAGCATGTGTATAGGCAGTCATAGGGACTGGACCCAGTATACACTCCCCATAAATATACCCTAAGTACAAAGTCCTTTCAACTTTTAAGAGATGAAATGAGGACAGAGAGTTTGGTAAATACCTTTGGGACTGGCCACCTGAGCCCCTCATAAACATCCCTGAAGTCCCCCTTTCCTCTCCTCCCTCTGAGACACTTGGATATCACCACCAGTTTTCACACAAGGCACAGATAATAAAGCCAGGATTTTCAGAAAGACCCAGCCCCTCTTTGCACAGTGAAGCCGCTGGGTACCTTGAACCTTTCCATGAACCACCAGGATGCCTTTGAGGTAGAGCAAAGGGATCCTGCTTTACACTTAGGGTGCATCTACACTGAGTTTATAAAGACTTGATAAACTCTCTGAAAATCTGGCCCTAGCTTTGAGCATTGAGGACCTGGAAAAGTTTGAAAAACCTGCTCAAGACCACAAAAGACGACTTGCCGCAGAGCTGGAAACCGAATCTGGATCACTGATCTCTTGGTCCCGCAGCCGCCCCACAAGCTCTTCTCTCTCAGTCATGAAGCCAAAGTCACCTCCACTGTCCACTAGATCTGTATTTTTCTGCTGCTCATCTACCCAATGCTTTGCTCACTACTGGTGTGGAGGGAGAAAAATAAAAGAAAAACCCACTTGAAGGAATGACATCGTGCATCAAACTAAAACTTGTCTTCCTCTTTCTCGTTGCCTCAACACTAAATAACTATTTGGCTTTTGCATCTCTGCTTTGAGAAGTGTTCCCATTCCACTTTTTAAATTATTCATAACAAGCCATAGGTTTAGTAAAGCAAAAGCAACAATTTTTTCTATCTGAGCACATAATTAACGCACAAAGTCTGATACACCGTTGATTTAAACATATTACTGAATCAGTGTTCGTTCTTTGTAAGTGCTGGAAAACCTGAACATGTTTGAAAAAAAGCAATGATCTGACATTTGTCACTGAAATGTGACTATTACATGAAATTAAATTAGACATCCTCCATGCAAATTTTCAAAGAATAACTTTCCTCTGTGTAGTACAAAAAAGCCTCCCCATAATTGATAGGCAGAGATTGACTTTTAAAGCTTCAAATCAGCTTTGAGGTTTGGGTGATCTTTTAAACTGTTCAAGCTTTCATCTGCTGGTTTTTGCATTGTCGAGACCCATCAATCAAATAATGGATTTCTGATCAATAACCTCTTCTTCATTAGCTTATGTGAACTCTATTACAGAGAGAAGAGCTGTCCTGACGCTGGCAGTCACAGTTTTCTACACTTTACCTGGATCGAGCCATGGCAAATGTTCCCAGTGGGAGTATGATGCACTGGGATGTCATCTGATTCACCTGAACTGCAATTCTCCTGGGCCGGAGATGCCAAGATGAGTGATAGGCACAGCTAAAACGTATCACAGATCCCCACCAAGATAACCATAGGCGTATCCAAAGTTTATTCGAGCTCTTCAGCCTCTAGGGACTTTTATCTTAAGTCACAATTCAAATCAGAACAGGCTTTCTTGAAAGGTTTCTCGCATTTCCCATTTCCAGAGCATGTGAAAACAACAGAGAAAGGCTGCTTTCTTGGGCTGCCCCATTTTATTCAGTGGACCAACTCCTGCTGACTTCCATAGGACACAGATTTCATGCAAGGTGTTTTGACCCTTTTACACTTGGGCCAGGCTAGAAATAACTGAAAAGCTATCTGAAAAGCCATCGCAAGACAAATTATAAGAATAACGTACCCATCCTAGTAACATTTCTAAGTAACTCCTACATGGTTCAGTTTGGGTCCAAACTTCAGTTTAAGCTAGAAGCCTTCTTGATGGGAAGTTCTTGCTAATAGGACTGATGAACGAGTCTGTTCTTACTACTGTGAATAGTCTCACTGGAAATAATGCTGATTCATGATGGAAAGAAGTCACGCTTAATAAGTATTTGCATAATTTTGACCATCTGCTGTGCCAACGAGATGGAGAGTTTCTTGATTTTTACAGTTTCTAACCACCACAAATAGTCTTTTTCCAAACAAAGGCATTAGTATGGGAAAGCCAGAAGTGTCCTGTAGCACCACATAGTTCATTCTCAAAGCAATTCCAATCGCTCAAAGCCTTTATTCTACTCAGTCCAGTTCAGCTATTGCTGCTAGTTTCCATTGGCTCAGTGTTATGGTTTGTTAACATTTTGGACCATTTGTTTTACCATAGCCTGCTTATCTCTTTACCCCAGGCATTTATGGTCTTGTGACACAGATCATTCTTAGGCTGTATGAGTTACGAGCCGTGTCGACACGAGATGCTGACTGTGCAGTCGTGACTGCACAGCCATTTAGTACTTGCACACACAAGTACTAAATGACTGTACAGTAACCGGCATTACTGTGCAGCAGTCTCTCCAAATGGCGTTTTGGTGATGCCGACTGTTCAGTAGCTCATTACTACTGCACAGTAGCATTGCATCTCGCTTCGTGCCACGCAACACTACTGTGCAGTAGTAATGAGTCGCTGTGCAGTCAGAATCTTGTGTAGACGTGATCATGGTGCCCTGGTCCTCTCAAGCACTGATGCCACTAGACTCAAGTATCATTGTTATTATGTGCAGGATGTAAGGTCTTCACCCCAAACTTTGTGCCAGGTGACTCTTTCCTCTCTAGATTATAGCAGGAGTTTGTCAAATCTTCTGTGGGCAAGATTAATGGATCCAAAAATTAGGTGGAAAGTTATGTGTGGTCATCTCAGCTGGCCTCTGATTTGTACATTGTACAAAACTGGTGAAGTCAATTGGTTTTCACAGGGTACTAGTCAGGGCAAGTGGTGGCCAAAAGGATTGTATGCTGTAGTCATGAGATCCGTGCCACAATGCTCACAGATGCCAAATTTGGGGCTCAAATACTCACATGAAACTAATTGTGGCATTTGTCTTCTTGGCACCCTCACAGTGGAAATCTCATGAGAAGAGCTCCCTTCAACCAGTAAGGGACTTGAGGCTACACTGCCTGATTCATACAACCAAGTGTAATTAGTTACACTGCTGGACTTTCAGATTTGGGTTGTCAGCAACAAGAGCCAATGAAAGTAACCCAAATATCACTGACCAATTAATACATTGGAGAAAGTTGCCATCCGTTTGCAAGAAAATTTATTAAATACATTTTCTGTCTTTATTATTAGTGATTACCAATAACACAACTGTAAAGGATAGCTTTGTCATTGACTTCAATGGGACAGAATCAGGGCATATCTGGGTGGGTGCATCTACACATGCAATTAATGCACAGTAATAAACTCCGGCACATATTGCACCGGGGTTTATTACTCCAAGGTGCTGTGTTTGAACATGCTCCTGGGACTGCAGTACATTGAGCCAGGTTGGAGCAGTCCTGGCTGACAGGGGGCTCTGTAGGTTAGCCTCCTAGCCTGGGGCTACTCCGACCGAGCTCAAGGTGCAGTGGAGGGGCTGGCTGGGATACAAGGGTACATCAGTATGGAGCTAGCCAGCAAGCATCCCCCACATTGAAGCACCCTCATGCCCTAACCAGCTCCATCAGTGCCTACATGTGCATTGCTCTGGAGTAAAAAACTCCACCATAGGCTAGTACTTGTATTTACAAGTGCTAACTTATGGCAGGGTTAATTAGTTTATTCTGTCCTAAAAGCACTGCACATGCAGATGCTGAGACATTTACTGCAGAGCTAATTAGGCAATTGCACATTAAAATGTCTCGTGTAGATGTGCCTGGTCAACATTAAGTTTAATAACAAAGAGTCATATACTCTCTTGGTGTGCTGACCAAGGAACTGGCCTGCGCACTATGGGTGTTGAGGAAGGATGCTTCCTAAACATTGGTCATGACAACTTTAACACCAGAGGAGCTCTCATCATTACTGAAGTTGTTCTTGCTGAATTTTGGGGAGAGGAAAGAGGAGACTGGAATCAGAGATTTCCTCCATCTGTCCACCAGCCCACTTCTTCATCTGTCTCTTTGGCAGCCGGCTGTTATCTATCTAACACGGAGAATACAACCCTGCCTGGGTTCACCAAACCCTGTATCTGTTCTCTCAGCTCCTTTCCCCCCATAAGGGCTGGGTGTAAATGACTCTCCAAGCACCTTTCAAGCAGAAGACAGAGGTGCACAATGCAAGGTAGTGACAACTCATGCAGTTACTTAAGGACACACCTAGCTCCAAGCATGTGAGCAATTGCACCACCATCAGCAGAATCTGAAGGGAACACCTGGGAGGATGTTGGTGAGTCGAGTCCCTAATCTCAGTGGAGTATATGTGGATTATTTAATGGGAAAAAAATCAAAACCACTTACCAGTCTGCAAGTCATCCGACAAGGAATAGGAGCTGGAAAACTGCATGAGACAAAAAAAGGTACTTTTTAAGTATCTGAATACAAAGCCAATGAAAAAGCTCAGTGACAATGTGTTTCCAGTGAGCTTTATGTCCCCAGGACTTGTAATGGATGAAGCTGCAGGATTTTCCAGCAGGCTTGCCTCCCATGTCGGCACCTACACAAAATGTCTGGCTCCCGAGGACTCAACAACCCCCAGTTTTCAACAGCACTTGTTTACATGAGAATTGAGCTTTGAAAATCCTGGCCCAGGCACAGACCCTGAACCCTTTTGGAAACCCAGTCTGAATGGTTCAAACTCTGTGTGTCTCCCTTCGAAGCAACCAAAACATTTGTTTAAGTAAATGTTGTTTTTGGAACTGTAGTGGCACTCAGCCCTCTGGGATGAGTCCAGGTAAGCGCTCCCAAACCTTTACATGCTTCTCTGGGACTTGATCCAGCACCCTTTGAAGTCAGGGCAAAGATCCCTGTTCACTCAAATAGGTGAAGGCTCAGCCCCTTGAAGAGTAAGCAAATCCAACAATGCTAGGGCTCTGCAGAGGATTTCCAGGACTTCCTCAGTGGAAATCCCACCCCTTCCGACCTCTCCTGCAGAGCCCCAGCCTTTCCTGTTTGGACATCAGTCAGGGCCCGGCTGTGGAAGTATTAGAGGAATAAAGTGAGGCTAAGCCTTGCCAGCTCTGGGAGAGCTTGAATTGTCAGCAAAGGTTTGTCTTTAAAACAGTCTCATTGAATCCTACCTGCTGCACACATCCCTAGCAATAAGACACTAAGAATGGACTACCCTGACGGCTCATGTCGTGTTAAGATGTCCGCACTTGCCCTGCAGGTATGATATTGTAGACACGATGAGAGCGCGCATAAAGATGAATGGCTGCACTTCCTGTCCTACTACCGCTGAGGGATGTAAACACACCCAAAGCAATTAGCTTGTGTATTCACGCTAGCATTCATGGGTTGATTTGAGGTTTTTTGCTTTGTTTTGTGGTTTTAAGCCTGGTTTATTGTATGTCATTGTGCAGATATATCAACAAGGCTAAAGATATATCAACTGGGCTACTGTGGTTAACGCATGTCGAAATCTGTGGCCATTGGCACATAAGAGAGGGAGGTAACATCTTGTCTGGCTACCTTTAATCCTCAACCTGATTGATCAAGTGTCCAGTTACAGCTGGGTTGACAGCGCAGCCTTTGGCCTGGGTCCAGAGCAGGGCTCAACCCTGCAGCTCTTAAGCTGTAATTGGGTAACACACACACACACACACACACACACACACACACACACACACACACACACGCACCCCCCCCATCTCATTATAAAATGATATACTATGAGGAGTACAAACAATATAAAACAAACACCCACTCCCCAGCACACAGGTGAATTCCTAGATTGCTTTATATCATCTCACAGATCTATGAGACGCTGATGTTTAATGAATTGCTCAAATGATGGAGAAAACACCATGTGATGACTAGCTTGAATATACAAAATACTTTGCTTTGGGCGTGTTTGTGTCCCTTTGTGTTTGTAACAGAGGGAAGAGAGTCTTCAGCTCTACACTTTTCACTGACTTCAATGAGAAACGAGCAGACCGTAGCAAAGGTAAGAGAACAAAGGCCCCTGGTGCAGCTGCAATTAAATAAGGTGCTATATGAGCATGTTTCTAAACCCTGGGATGATGCACAGTCACCCAATGCCTTCAAATGACTAACCATGATGACGCCCGTCAACAACAATGCCGTAAGCACATGGCACCCGGTAGATATTCCCTGAGTTCAGGTACAGACGTCACCAAATTCCTTGCTATAGCCCAGACATGAAGGGGACTGTATAAACAAGAAGAATAATCCTTTCTGCAATGAGTTCAAAGCTGGACTGGAAGATGAGTCTACACCAAAATCCAGAAACCAGACCTATTCTGTTTCTGGCAAAATACATGAAACAAGCCAGGCTTGTTGGAATAGACAGTCTCTAAAAAGCAAAGCATTCCCCTTTCCCCATTTGTTGTGGGTGTGTTTGTTTTTTTCCACATATTTTCTCTCCTTTCCTATTCCCATCATTCCCTGTCTATCCGAATCAGGGGCCTGCTCAGCTTTTATGTCCTAATTCATCCACCCTCCTTTTTCTCCCCACCCCTCCAAAAACCCAAACATAAACCAAGGCTTCTTTTTAAGCATGTGTTTGGGTCCTTCATTATTTAGCAAAGCGTGGGAGCCCATACTTGGGGGGTCTTCAGTGGGATTTCAGTTGATGCTTACAGACAAGCCTGGTGAAACCCTTTGCACTGCTCTACCCCTCAGCTTCTCTGCGTGAAGAATGGAAATGCTCTCACAATGAGTAAGGAAGGTTATTTATGTCAAGAAAAGGCCATGTGGCCCTTCCCTCCATGGCACCTAGCTCAGAGATGATGCCTTTTTTGTTTCTAGGTCTCCACAAGCGCTAAGCATCTGACACATCCTCTCCCTTGAACATATCTTACACCAAAGGTATATATAACAAGCAGTCTTTGTGCCCTGGGCAGTGGCCAGGACAGCCACAGCAGCAGGGCTGGTAGTATCAGCGGCAGGCAACCTTATTCCCCCTCTGGGGGTGGTGCACCACTCTTCTACCCCCTACTTAGGCTACTGACTTAAATAAAGAAGAAAAGCAGGCAGTGGAGGGGAATACTTGGTGTACATAACACTCCTCTCCACCTAATGCAAGGGCATCATACTCTATTACATCGCAGATGATCCGAGTAAGTCCATAACTTCTTCAGGGCATAGCTGCTCTGTTACATTCTTGAGCATGTCGGTCAATGGGGCCCAATCCTGTAGGGAGGCCTTTCCCTATCCTGCAATGCAGCTACGAACTTAATTTTCAGAGAGCTGCAGGAATGTTATCCTCTGCTTTCTAAGGAAAAGTCCTGTTAGAGTCCGACTCTAAGCATTAAATATTATTTTATACTAAAGCACACGGGCTGCATTTTCTTTCGAGTTACCCGACTGCAACCCTAATGACTCGGCTGCACTAATGCAACGGAGGGAAGAACTCGCCTCTCAAATCTGCAGTGCTTCTCCTCCATTTATTCATTACATCTGATCATACACCAAACTGCACTGGCTTGAAGGCATGTTACAGGCCCCAAATCAGATTTTTTGCCTGTACAAAATCTTCTGCAGAGCTTTGCTTTGGAGGGCACCGAAAAAACTCAACACCTTTCCCCCCGCCATGGTCTTGATCTTGCCCTTTCATCAGTGCCTTGAGTTGCTGTGTGATGCGCGAAACAACAGGAGAGTCGAGTTTTTAAGATTCCCAGCAATGTGTAGTGGAAAGGACTGAACTTTTCGGTTTTAGGTGTTTAAGCCTCGTGGGTTGCTATCCATTTTATGGCCAGCAGAGGGGGCACTTGCCCTTTAATCAAACTCTAATAAAACAAGTCAGAAGCAGGATTGAAACAAAAGAAGAAAAAAAAAATAGATTCTGGGGTTTGTTTCACCAAACATTATCGTTTCTGCAGCTCGACACTGATACTTTGTGTTCTCAAGAGGCAAAAAAAAAAAAGAAACAAAAAAGTGCTGAATATGTGAATCTTGCTCTTACTGAGTCTGTAGAGACTGAGGATGAAGCTAAAAAAATTCAGAGACCTCATTTTAAATTTTATTACTTCAGTCTCATAAAAATAAAAAAGCCCTACAAAAAAAAAAACCTGGAAGAGGCATTTTATCTTGTTAGAGGTATATTGCTGAGTATGGAGTCACTTCTATCTTGACTTGCTAGAGAGAGGATTAGGGGGAAAAAATGGCTGAAATGCAAAATTTAGACAGGCCTTCATAACAGGAGTAATAATTGTTAGGATTTTTTCCCAGGCTTCAGTTTCTCCAAAGGACTGATGCACATTAGCTAATTTATTAGATTTGGAACAGAAAGGTTAGACACTGCGGATGAAGAGGACGTCTTCTGTTTTCATTTTAGGCCTTTTTTGGATACGTTCTAACCTCTGGAAAATGGAAGATTTGGCTCATGCAATACAGCAGGACTCAACAGTCATGCCCGGACTCTGAGCTTTGTGTACCCGTGACTAAACCGGTCAGCCTTTTCTCACGCAAAGGGTGGTTTTAAATCTTTATGTCCGAGTAAAGACTCCAGGAATCGACTCTGAGCTCACGGGAAATTCTTCGGTGCCCTGAGAGCATTATGCAGTGGGCGATGCCGATTATGGTGTAGGGGCAGGCCTGTTCATTACTATGATTAAAGTCGAGAAATAATTGGAAGAGAAAAAGAAACCGAGAAACAGGCGTTATAAAGGAGGCAGCGCAGGAAAGACACTCTTGTGGTACCCGAGGCTGGACTTAGGCAATGGGACTCACCGAACTAACTGATCCATTTGCTTAGCTGAGATATCTTCCAAAGTATCTCACTGTCCTTAGGGGAGATTGAAGCCTTGCTCCTGCCTGGAGGACTGAGGGGAATAAGGTGGCTGTGTGGGAGCTGTAAGGCAAAGGTCTCTTAAGTGTTTTGCCTATTTAAGGATAAAATGACTCAAAGGGTGCTGGTTTAGGGAGTCCCAAGCCCCTTACGCAGGAGTATCTCATCCTCACAGGTGTATGTGAGAGAGCGCTATGTTTGTATCGTATGTCCTTTCTATGCATGCTAGGGGGATAAAGCAACTACCCTAATTCCTAGCATGTTCATGAAAAGGTGGCTGGAGAGGGGCCCACAGGACAGCAAGCCCTGTGGGGCAGATACAGTAATACTATGGCACCAGGAGGCCAAATTGCATAATAAACCCACCGTTCAGGTGAGGTTTTCTAAATTTGCTGGTGCACGTGGGCTCATTTCCCACCAGGTCCCAGCTGGACCTGGGGGCGAGAGTTTGGATGAGAGATGGGCACCGCTGGGATGAGTTTTGGAAGCATCCCTGCAGCAAACAAGCACTTGTAGAAAGGCTGGTAGTTTAAAGACAAAAATATACCAAGAGTAGGCCAACAAAAGCTGGCAAAATGCCCTGCAAACAG